CCATGTTTGAATCGTGAATGCGCCGCCGACTCCTCGACCAACGCAGGCAACCTTTGTTCAATGCTCCTAGTTTACCCCCACTATATTTCGATTTACTACTTTAATATACAAGTCATTCATCGTTGAGTGACATCTGTAGGTTGTTCTTATAACTTTATATGAAAGCAATATTTACTTCGATAATAATAATATTCGACGATAAGAATATAATTCTAAAAAAAATTTTTTTATTTAATGTTTGTATTTTTTTACAAAGATTAAAGTTATAATTTATAATATTATATAAATACGATATATTTTATATTGTTTTCTATATTTATTTTATTTTTTCATTTAATTTTTAAATAAAAATTAACAACAATATTAAATTTGAATAGTTTATAATTTATATTTTTGATTAATATAGTGATCAAAATTTTTTGTATAAGTAATTATTTTAAAATATCTATTTAATAAAGAAATAATATTTTATTCCAAGATACAATGTTATTTACTTTCTATGTAAATAAGATAAGTTTTTATTAACACATTTTTATTATGTTATCTGTAAATATAATTGGAAAAACTTATTGATGATATTTGAAAATTTATTTTTAAAATACCCGCTACAGTTGAGTCATGAACCAATCATATTACACAATTGCTGTATCTCTGAACGGCAACATTGGGTTTGTTACGTGAGTTGAAAATATGGCATCGTTGTAACTTTAGGTCAGAAGACGAGACCGGTTGACAGAAAGTTTGGTATTCTACATACTACTGTGATGTATCGTTCGTTGTATAGTGTCATCGTGCGTTATATCAACTTGACGGAAAATTTACTGACAAGTCGCGTATCAGCGACAGTTACAATTATTTACGATAACGACAACGTGAATCGAAAATAATTAGCTGGCAGTGTGTGGTGCTGTGGGGCAGGAGACGATGAGGGTCGAGGGGATAATTCGGGTGGCGACTTGAGGGCAGAAATGTTGAAATTTGGTAGTAAAAGTGACGTTACAGTGGTGCATCGCGCCACTATTCGACTTCTAGACGACGCCGAAATTATCCACTGTGACTTTCAGGTGAGATACTCATTTAGTCACTACACGCGACAAACTATTGATGACGCTTATACACGCGCTTTTACCCCTTTTTCTTGCTGCCGGTAACGATCGCTCAGCTTCAAACAAGTTGAGAGTTTACCGACTTGTGAATGCCTAAATATCTACATGTTAGTCAAAAATATTTTGCATAAATGTCTGTACTTTGATTCAAACAAAATAAGTATTTCGATCGATTCCAAAAAATAATCATTACAACTGTTTGTTCATCCAAAATTTTCTTTTTAATGTTAATTGTACTATTTAATGATTTGAATCGTATAAATGATTTTTATAATAATCAGTATATGATGAATTTAATGTTTCATATTTGTATATTATAAATATTATAGGTAATCATCAGTTATGTTTTATATTGAATATAATTTCAAATTAATAATTTGAAAATTTAATAATTTGAATTTCGAATATAATAAAATAAAAATTTTTTTTTAACTATTAATAATTCATTAAATCTGAAATAATGATAAGTTGAAATTTATTACTTATAATATTTTAAAATTATATTTTTATTAATATATTTATTAACATTATTTCAATTTAATATGATAATTAATGTTAATATAATATATTAATGTTTTATTCGCAATATTTATCGTGTGTTTTGTATTTAATTTGTATACATATCTATGTACATATACAACAAGTTTAATAGCTTAGTGTTGCAAGCCACGTGCGTATATTAACAAGAATATTAAAATATTACAATTTGATATTTGATAATTATATCTTCAGTACTAGTACTCATACTAACTGAGTACTAGGTAGTTGAATTCTTATTTTATTTTTTGAATATATGTAATTTTGAATAAAGAATATATTTATCTAAAATATATAATTTTATAGAATTATATTATACATTTAAAGTAGATTTTGAAAATATTCTATTTAATAATTTTCAATATTTTTAAATATTATAATATTTATATTTCTTAATGTAATAGAAATGTATAAAAAAATAAAATATAGAAAAATGATAGATATGTATATATTAAACATATATGCATTTTGCACAATACACATGAATCCATATGCATATCATACATAATGATTTTGATATTTTTTTATAAATTAAATTATAGATTATATATATTATATATAATCTATAATTTATATATATATTATGGTTTATATATATATACTTCCTTTAAAACTACAAAATAATATTTCCTTTAAAACTACAATATAATATAGTAAAATATTAAATATTAAA